GGGTTTTGGGGGCCCGAGGTTGCTTTACATTTCCCCCCCCCCACCCCAACCCGTTTTTTTTTTTTTTTTTTTTTTTTTTTTTTTTTTTTTAACCATGTTAGAGCTGTTTGAAAGTTCAAACTGTGATCTGTTTAACGCCAAACAATTCAAATTTGTTCCACCTCTATATGTGACAGAGGCCTAATTTCATGGTGTTAAATCAAGAATATTTATTAATATATTTGTTGTATTCAGCATTTTTAGGTAACATAGTTACTTTATTGTTCTATAAGATACCTGGAAAGCACAGCTTACTGCCCCTCTAAAACTTGTATGGTTGGAAACGTAGCTACTGAGTCACAGGTGAAGATAATTATTAAAAAAATACTTTCCTTACTTTTCCCTGCTCAGTATTTTCAGCATCTTCTTCCTCTAAATCGCTTTATTATTAAATGATAGTTTTTATTCAGTTTGGTTGTTTACTGTGAAGCTGCAGGAAGTTAGCGTCGTAATAAAGTGATGAAGTTCAACCTCCTCCCCCCCCCTCCCCCGCCAGGCGTCGGCTGCAGCTGAACCCCACCCAGGCCTTCTTCCTGCTGGTCAACCAGCACAGCATGGTGTCTGTGTCCACCCCCATCTCTGAGATCTACGAGCAGGAGCGGGACGAGGACGGCTTCCTCTACATGGTGTACGCCTCGCAGGAGACCTTCGGCTGCTAGGGAGGAAGAGGAGGAGGAACGGGAACAGGAGAATGGGATGTCTTCTCCACCTTCAGACTCTTTAGTTTATTCAGTTCATTCAACACAAGCTGCAGATGCCAGCAGAGGGCGCTCTGCTGTTTCTCCACACACAGGCGGAGAGCTCTTATTTTGAAAGAACACAAACTGACCAATCACGTTAGAGAATGTAAAGACGTCAAACACTAAACATGCATTTCCGGCTCATTTCAACCCCTTTTAACTGAACTCTTAGTTTTATTTACAGCCAACATGGAGCTTAACCTTTGATGCCGATGTGCAATATTTCTGCCCTCACTCAGCTGTAAGCACAACATCCCAGCTTTTAGTGCCGTAGATTCCCAGGAGCAGCGAAAGCCTCGCGCTGCGTTCAGGGCCGGTCGTAGTTCTTAGTGTTCAGAGCAGAGTGATGCTGCAGCTTCAGGGAGGAGGAGGAGCCACTGTTAGAGGTCAGGAGGGCGGCGCCTCCTGCTGGTCAGTAGAAACACTACAACGTTCAACAGAGAAACCTGTTTAATGTAGGAACTGAATGAGCTTTTTGTTTTGCACATGAATCAAACAGTAAAATGAGGCTCTTTTCTTTTAGGTTATTTGTAATAATCATCTTTTTTTTGTACTTGCTCCCAGTCTGCCTTCTTTAGCAGGAATTTATAGAAAACTTTTGGTTCTGCACTACAAACCCTGCATGTTTTCACTTTTTTATAGAAATGTTAACTGATTTTATGCCATAGTTTTCTTTGAACTATTAGACTTTTTTAGATGTTTTATTCTCCAAACCAAAATACATTAACCTATGTGTGTAAAGCAAAGTGTGCGTCATATAATCAAGCTGTATCACCGTGTTTTTCTTTAGGCTTCCACCAGGTGTCGCTGTTTTCCGCTGGTGTACATAGATGCATTGCTGCGAGTTGACTCAGAGCATTTGCCAGTAAATAAATAAAAACATAGAAAGCTTTGAAATGTTTGGAAGTTTAATTTTTACACAAAACTGCAGATCCTGCTTTTGGTCAGCAGATGACGCCAAAAGCCACCAAATTTGACCGCCTTGGATAATAACTTGAAAGCTAGAGCAGAGAAATACTGCCACCTACAGGTGGGAGTTGGTATGAATATTGACAAGTTTTTGCTGGAAATTTGCAATGAATTTAAATTTTAGCGCAAAATTAAGTACAGCAATCTGTTTTTGCTTGAATTTCTAAAGAAATTTTTATTCAAATGAAATTTGTTTCACGCAAGAAAACAAAATAACTTTAGCCCAAAAATCTGAACAAACCAGTTTATAGTCAAAACATTTGATTAAAATGCAATAAAAGGCAGTCAGATGAAAAGGGAGCAATCAGTTTTATTTTACACATAAAACATCCAATATATTGAGTTTGTCTCCTGACAGAAACACAGCTTTCTGCACTTTCTGGTTCCTCCTGCAGAGCTGACAGAATGAGGAAGTGGATCCATGTTCAATTAGCAGCTCAGAAACCTGCAGACCGATTCATCTGAATGAGTCTTGGTTCATCAAGATGGCCTCCACCTGACTGAAGGCTCCAATGTCTCTGATCTGGTTAATGAGGTTGAAAAAAGGCAGAGATGTTTCTGAATGAAGTCCAGCTGCTTTAGGGGGCGGAGCTTCATGATGGGGGCAAACTGAGGCAGCAGCTTTTATTACGCCATGCTGAGGGGAAACAGGAAATCAATGAGTTAAATATGAATAAACCAGCATAATCCAGCTGGTTATAGTAGAAAACATGGCTGTTTGAGTCTGGAAACAGGAGATCCTCAGCTTTAGCCAGACTGTTTGGGATGTAGGTGGAGCAGATCAGAGTTTCAGCATGTGGAGGTCCCATTTTAATCAACAAAATAAGCAACATTTTCAATTCAAAAACCTTGCTGCTCAATTATTGATTAAATAGACATGAACACAACAACAAATTTTAATCTGTTCTCCAGCCATCAGATTGGTGCAAAGAGTTATTCTACCTGTGTTGTCATTTGGTCCAATGTAAATTGGTTTATAATAAGTTCATAGTTATATGACTGAATGGGTAAAGTTTGGATTTGAAATTTAATAACAGTGTGACATCTGTCTTACAAACTGTCTTTGTCATATTGTATTTGCAACAAAAAAAATGACAGAGTGAGAGCTCTTAGAAGCAAACTAGCTTTGGCGTAAACTTCTTTGGTAACCATGGGAACCAAGAATTTAGGCCGTTTGGAGAAAACAAACGACTTCCTACCTGGGAAGACATTCTTCATTGTAAGTATTTATGTATATGGAAGTCAGCCATGTGTTGCCTTTTCTTTGGTTTGATAAAATGTAGAGAAGTGAACATCATTTTTGAGTGGAACATTAAAATGATCGTCAACTAATAATCAACATTCCTGTTTTGAGTGTAGCATTAATATTAGTGTTTTAGCAAGTAATGTATTTTTATTTTTGTACTTTCTGTTATACATCAGCCACCAAAATCTAATTATAAAAGGTCAGTTAAGAGAAAGCCTTTTAAAGATATTAGCACAATAGCCATTCAGCTTTATATTCGCTCATATGCCAACTCCTTTTAGCATAACTCGAAAACAGCAATACTCATTTCCAACGTCCCATTAGCATGATTTATGAAGCAGAAATTAATTCCCAGTGGCTCGAGAGAAGCAGCTTTGTCGTCCATCGCTGTTAGCTGACGTCGCTTGTGCGTCAAGCTAACAGGCGTACAGGAAATACTAGAAAACAAAGGTTCCGGCTGGAAACTCTGTATTGTAAAAAGATTAAAATGGGGACTTGTGATTTCCTGGAAAGACAGCCTGATAAGTATTTATTTGCAATTTTTATATTAACCTGCAAGACGTTGACTGCTTCCACATTCCCCCACAATTTCAGACTGGATAGATATTGTAAATGAGATACACAAGCAATTACCTTTCCCATCCATCTTAAGAAAAGTTTTTATTCATTTATGGGACCAGATTTTGTAGAGATGTTGTATTAATCAGTCTATTTGTGCTTTTTGGTGTGTGTGTTTCTCACCCCCGGTCTAAATATATGTCCATATTATGGACATCCCTGTCCATTTTTGGAGAGGTATGTCTAAAATATCCCTGTCCAAATAGGGACAGGGATATTTTGAAATAGCACAGCTAATTCAAGAATAGCTGTGCTATTCTTGTCCATAATTCAAGAATAACACAGCTTTATTTCATCAGACTGATGGTGACATGCTTAAAACAAATTAAACTGAAGTAATGCAGATAAATTAGAATAATCCTAAAATTAAAAACTGCAACACCACAAACTATTCATGTTTTATAAACCACATTTTTGCTTTCATTTTACTTTGATGGTACATATTTAGTCAAAAGTAGAATTGGGCCACACTTTGCTAAATAAGAGGCTTTTAAAAGAAAGAGGAATTTGTATTGCATTCTTATAGCCTATAATATAAAAATGATCTATAGATTTGTAGGTTTTAAAATATATTTTGTAACGATAGAATTGTTTTTGCATTTTTTATATCAAAATAAATAAATTTATATTTGCGGCCAACAGCTACTTTTAATGTCAGAGTTGTGACCCTTGTTGTAAAAAGTCTGGACACTCCAGTCTAAATAATACACATGTATACCAGTGTTTTATTTTACCCTTTCTCTCCCAAACAGTTCTAAGTTGGTGTAGGTGAAATAAAAAAAAGACAGGATATTTCTACTTTTTGAAGTTGTAACTTTTGTTGACTGAAAATATAAAATGCCAAGAATTACATATAAAATTTTATAAATTTTATAAATGTTGAAGTTTAAATTTCAACATTTTGTTCCAATCTTCAATGTTTTTATTGAGATTTATTGCAACAAAAGAAACACGAAGCTGATCTATATTAAAAACAAGAATCTGATAAGTGTGGATGGCCTGACCTGTCGATGAGCGAGTCCCTCATGCTGGTGGCGATGGCGGACGCCTGCGCCGCCTCGCTGAGCCGGAACACGCTCTCGATGACGGACAGCTCCGTGCTCGTGGTGTCCAGGCCACAGAACGCGCACCAGTCGTTGACCACCATCCCCGCCGCGATCACCTCGCTGCCCCGGTTCACTGTGCCGGCCTGCACATCAAACCCACCGTTACTACCGGCTGTGGTTCCACTGAGCCCAGAACCTGGCCAGCGGACCGGAACTCACCACCAGGGGGACCTGCAGCAGGGACGACAGCTCATCCTGGTCCTCGATGGACGTCTTGGGGTGGACCAGGCCGCCCTGGTTGCTGAAGGCACAGTAGGACCCGACCAGAACCTGCTCGGCCACCGTCTGACGGAACACCTCCACCTTCAGCGTGTCGGCCAGGATCTCCTCCGTTTCCTGAGGCAGAGGAGAACGACATGGAGGAGCAACTCATCAGTAGGGCTGGACAATAAATCAATACATTGCCATAGAAACATGATCAATATTGATAGATAATACATCTGATATATTATTCAATACATAGTTCTCATGTGACACCGTACTACTGGGAACTTTGTAGCTGACAACCATCTTGGTAGGTAACCGTAACTAACCCTCATTCTCATACAGCTAGGCCAGTCACAATAAGCAATAAATCAATTAATCGCATGATAAAATACAACAATATCAATAACTTTCATTTGCATGATTTAGCGTTTTTCTCTTTCTACCAAAAACCAGATGATAAAATCTTCAGCCTGGTGCTTTGGTCTCAACCAGCCTTTTTTGGAGGGTAATTTTGTTTACAGAGACTTTATAATTTATTTTATTTGTTTTGTTTATTTATTGTGGGTATTTAAATTGTCTTCCAGTTCCAGAGTTCAATGTTCATTAGAATTTAAAGTATATGAAGCTTTGACAATGGGATGTTGCATTATTATGCCATTACCATTATATTATTTAAACATGGCTTCTGGTCATCCAGAAGAATTTGTTATTGTGACAGACCTACATACAGCAGCGTTTTTGTTGCTATATGTTTCTCTTGCACGTTGGTAAAGAGTTTCTTTTTGTTGGGTTCATCTACACTTTATGCTGTGCTTGGCTACCAAGATGGCGGTTCAGTGGTGTGGAAAACTTCCTGTCCAGATTTGTGGGGATTATGTACAATTTCAGTGAACTCCGATCTAGAACTGCACAGCATTCTGGGGAATGTAGGCAGAGGAAAGACTTTAGCTACTAGCCCTCTCAAAGCAGGGTTAGAGTTTGGAGGAATCAACTAACTCTCACTCACTCTTTGGTTACCTAGCAACCAAAGGGTACTAGGTAACTAGCACTCATTACTTAGCAACAACCTGTTGAGTAACTTGCGCAGCAACAGTTTCATGTTTCGCCTCATAACTGCTTAAAAATAAAAACCAACAGTGTGGAGTGAAAACCGTGGAACAGGAAAGATCACGTCACCACTTTGGCAGCATTTCAGATATTTAAAACCAAAATTAATCAATAATTATTGATCCTAACTGATAAGAAACGCTTATATCGTGATATGGTTTGTGGTCATATCATCAAGCCCTACTCCTGAGGACGGGCTCTCACCCGGTCCAGGTCCGGGTGGACCAGCGCCACGTAGTCGTTGCAGGCCACCACGTTGCCTAGCGCAGACAGCCGCTCCTCGACCCGCTGGATCCGCACGCCGTCTGGCAGGGAGTTCCTGATGTGCTGCAGCTCCTGGTCCGTCGTGTTGTTGGGCACCAGCAGGCCATGGCGGTTCCCTGATGGAGACAAGGAGGAAGAGGAGAGGCTCGTTAGCAGACCAGGTAACCGTAAAGAGGAAGAAGAAGAGGCTCCACTGACCAACACACATCCTGCCGATGATCCGGCATCCGGCGATGGAGGCGTGAACCACGGGGATGGTTTCTGACAGCTCGCCTTCAAACACGCTGGAAACACAAACCAGGGTTACAACAGTTCTGCGTTTTCATTATAGTTTAGTTTTATTTCATTCTGACTTTCTGTTTGTCTAATTCAATTACTTATAATTAGTTTTTAAAGTGTGTTTGCTAGTTTTTATTAGTTATAGTAGTAGTTTTAATTTTTTTATACTATAATTTTTAGGTGCAGAACTCAAAAAGTATATTACTGTGATTATACACTGATTCAGTAGTGAATACTCAATGGAAGAAACCATTTTCAAAAACATTAATTATTGTTGAATAACTTGCCATCTCTGGTGTTTTCTCCAAACTTTTGCCATGAGTTCTGATTGGTTGCTCTTTGGGCCAATAGGAGCTTTCGTGTTCAATCAGAGCCATTTCCTGCAGCATCATCAAGATTGTTACTTTTACTGTTTTCTCCAATAGATAATCAATAAATATTAATAAAACTTAGAAATTATGATTAAATGCAGCTTCTGTCTGCAGTTTAGCAATAAAAATCAGACTTCTTTATAAAACCAGATGCCTGAAAACTCGTGTTTGGATGTTTTTGAAGAGTCATATTTCTGTTTCGCTTAAAGAAGTTTAATTGTCACTTTTATTGTTTTCACAGTAAATAAATTTTATTGTGAGATGAATTTATTAATTTTAGATCCAGTCCAGAAAAACAATTCACCCGATCCGTCTTCATGGTTTATCTGTTGGAGGACAAACTGACCGCTTCTCATTTTCTTCTACTACTCTCCAATGTCATAATTTACTGTTCACCCTTTGTTTTCTCTCAGTTATTTTTCTGATATGCCTGTGATTCCTTCCTGGAGGACAGTTTACATTTAACTACTCCTTGTTCACTTTTCTGGTTCTGCTGGAGGTTTCTTCCCGTTTTTCCTCTCCACTGTCGCCACATGCATGCTAACTTCTATCTCTCAAGTGCATCGAGATGACATTTATTATGAATTGACACTATGTAAACAAACTGAATGAATGAGGCTAATTAGCATCTCATAGTGTTGGACGGGGCCAAAGGTTCTGGATGTTAGCAGGAGTTCTGATCCGGTCTGGTTCTGACCCAGACAGCTCGAAGAGCTGGGTTTTGATCTGGTTCTTCTGGTTCAGCCCAGCTGGATCACCTGGTACCGCTGCTGGTTGGTGCTAGTGGGGTAAAGTCTGTTGTTGCCTCCCAGTCAGAACTCCGGGATTACCCGCTTCGCCCAAATGTTTGACTGCTGTCAGAACCGAGGCGCGTGCGCGGCAGGTGGGGACCCACCTGTAGAAGTTTTCGGAGCCTCCGATGGCCACGAGGCAGTAGGTGTTGGTGAGTTTGGCGAAGCAGCCGATCTCGTTGTTCTTCTCGAAGGAGGCTCTGACAGCCATGAGGAAGAGGAGGAGGAGGACGAGGGAGGAAGAGAACGTTCAGCTCCAGGAGAAACAAAACCGTTCTTTTCTTGAACAGGAACAGAAATTAAAGTTATTGTCAGGTGATCCAGCAGCCTCACGCACTCTGGGAACTAACATGAACTTTTAGCTAGCTCTACCAGTTACCATCTACTAGCTCTACGGCTCCTACCTTCAACCCCACGTGTTGACTTCCGCTTCGGGGTTCCCGTAGTGACGTAGCACGTATGGTGCGTCGAACTATTTATTTGCCACGAGTCAAATATTTGGTATGCCCGTTATAAAACACTTCTTCTTTATTTTATTCTTTAAGAGTTCAGATTTGTATATTTGTCTCCTTTTTATTTATCTACAGTTTTTAAATTAGTTTTTATTTTTACGAGTAATTTTTGCCCATTAATCCTTGTGTTTTGTATTTTGTTTTTCATTTGTATATATTAATTTCAGCTGCATTCATTACATCACAAATGTAATGTGATTTTAATTATTCTATTTCAAACATGTATATTGTTCTAATTATTCCTTTTATTATTTTTTACTTTTATTTTTTGTCTATATACATTTTCCAGGATTGTAGCAATAACATCGATACCAAGTCATTGTCAGCATTGGGTCGATTAGTTTCAGATTCCCTTTTGAAATGTAATTTCATTTTTACATTGTGGCTTCTCAAATCTGTCTAAGAAAAGATTCGGTTTTAAATTCAACTTAAAATTCTATATATTTATATAGCTTTATTTAGGAAAAAATGTTTTTCTACTGTCTCTGTCATGTTAAAAAACTACTGTATATGTATTGATTTTGAATTTACTTTGTATCAGATTGATAACAAAACATGCAGATTGCACACTTCTAATGCATGCCTCCATCATTGGTCTCCATGGAAGCCAAACTTCACCCAGATCAGATTTTCCATATGCTTAGCTGCTAAGTGGCATTGTTTGTCCAGTTGATTTTGCAGTTCCTGACTGATTCACGCTTTAAAATTATTTTATTGGTTCCTGTCCTCGAGTTTGTCTCCAGCAGGTGTTGCTCTCACATTTCCAGACTGAATTTAATCTAAACAATCAGTGATGAATCCATAAATCCAATCAGAGCGGCTCCTCTTGTTTAATAAGCTGCATAGCAACCAGCTTCACGTTGCTCGCTCTCAGCCAATCACAGAGGGTTCTTCTATTGACGTAAGGTGCCCTGTTGTTTGTCACTGGGGTGCAACAAAGACCAGCAGAAGAGCGTGAGAGCATCACTCTAACTAGTAATGCTGACCGGGGAGACAGATGTGTAATAATGATTAAATCTATGGATGACTTTATTATTCTTTTCGTTTTAAGGGTAATTTTGTTTATTCCTTGTTTTTGTTGTTTATGTATTTTGGATATTTAAAATGTCTCCCTGTTCCAGTGTTAAATGATCACTATAATTTAAAATTTATTATGCCAATGCCATTATATTACTTGAAAATGGTCTCAAAACAACATTACTTTATCGCAATAACTTTATCGTCCATCTGGTTCTGAACTCAGCTCAGACTCCTAGAGATGTTAGTATCAGCTATACGCCTCGGAGTAATGCCTCTTTTCACTCTCTGGGATCTCTGCAGCCGTCCTCTCAGCCGACACGTCGGAGCAGATTGTCTGCCTGGAAACATCGGAAACTGATCGGAACCGCCGTCAGACAGAGACACGGACCTCCCCGGACCCCCAAGGGTCGATTAGGTGGGAAGACATTCATTTCTGTTGAAGATCAGATCCCAGATCCGACTGTCCTGTAGGGGGCAGCAGCGGAGACAACCCGCACTAGAGAACAGATAAACGTTCTCAGAATAAAGCAGTTCAGAGGTCATTCCAACCAACAAACCGTCCCAGATTTTCTGACGGGTCAGAACCATCATCACTCTTATTCAGGAGAAAATCTGGAAAAATCCGCAGTTAAACTGGGATTGTGGAAAAACTGGATTGGAATAGTAACTGGATCGGGTAAAATACAGGTTTCTGTGACCCGGTTTGACTCTGAATGATGGCTCTGATGGAAAGATGGCTGAGATATGGAGGTCCAAACAGGATGAGGTTCATTTACTGCTGTCACCATTCATCCATCCATTTTCTGTACACCCTTGTCCCTAGTGTGGTCGGGAGGGGTGCTGGTGCCTATCTCCAGCGAATGTTTCGGGCGAGAGGCGGGGTCACCCTGGACAGGTCGCCAGTCTGTCGCACACTCCTGACACCAGATCAATATTATTATTACTGCTCACAGATGATTAATCTGAATTATGCCTCTGTTTCATAAACTAAAACTCACTCTGACTTTGTTTTCGGATCAGAACAACTTGGCTTGGGTCGGTTTCATCTCTCGCCTGTTTTTCTGTTGGATTTTCTGGTTCTTCTTGTTCATTTCTTCCCTCTGCGCATATTTAAAGGTGCAGTATATGTGTTTTCCAACCACACAGTGCCATTTTATAGCACAATCAAGTTACTGTGTTAGCTACAGTTGTTATGCATATACTGAATATGACTTAAAAGAAATTAGACTTTGTGATTTAACGCCTTGAAATTGGGTCTCTTTAAAAACTCCTGCTCTTTCTGAAACTCCACGTTCAGGAAGTTGTCACAACATGGCTCCTCGTTTAACGTTTTCACCAGCATTGCTCTGAGAAGTAGCTCCTATAATGAGCTCAGCAAATGCTCGTTTCCACTAGGTGTTTGCTAATTGCTGCTGGCTAGTCTGAAGGAGCTGAGTGTGGGAGGAGCTGTGCCTCGAAGGCGGGGCTAGGTCCACCTGGGCATTTTGTCCAGTTGAATGGTTGAAAAGGAGATTTAAGGATATGAAATAATCAAGGCAACACTCCGGGTATGTTTTTGATGAGGGATAACATTATGACATAATTTAAAGCTAAAAAAGTAGATTTTACATGATACTGCCCATTTAGCGAAACCTGGCAGCCATCTGTGGTTTTGCAGAACCAGGCTGCTGCTGAATCTGGGTCTCAGACATACTGCGGTTCTGGACTGATGAGGACAGACAGACAACAACAGGACCTGAGAGGATAGAGTTATTTTTAGACTGATCTGATCTAATCAGACAATGAGGAGGAGGAGGAGGAGACTGGACGATGATGAAGGTCATGACTGAAGCAATTCTGAAGTTAGAAAAGATGTTCAGTTTAATCCGTCGTGAAAGGAGGAGAGAATATTCTGCAGCGAAGGCTAAAGGTCAGAGGCGTCCTGCATGTTGGAGATTTGATGACAAAATGTTGATAATTTAGAGACTTGACTTGGAGATAATGATTTATGACCTCTGGATTTTTCTACTTTAACATAAATATAAATACAGCTAACAGCAGAGCATAAAAATTCTGTTTGGGGAAGGGCTGATTTTAATTTCCCAGCATGCATTTCCTCCCACTGTGAGACAGTGTTGAGAAGAGGAAGGTGACCTGATCATCTGCTTCCTCCTATCTGATCAGAGACGACCTGATAACCAGGAGAGGAGAGCACATCTTGTCCACTTCCTGTCTATCACCACCGTCCATCTCTGTTCACACACCTAAACACACACACATACGCGTTTTCATGAAACATAAAGACGTATGACAAAAATAGGACAAATGGGTACGTGCCTTTCCAAATGTTCTAGAGGCCCAATAATCAAATGATTTTATATCTATTCTAACAGCAAACCATTAATCCATTGAGATTTTAACTAGAATTATATTTTGATCAAATCAGATTTTTATGTGACTAATCGGGACATTGTTTGGTTTATGTGACTTATGAGGGCTATAATCTCTCAAACAGTTATTTCATGTTAAAGTGAATTGTGAGACCCAGAGATGCACACAATATTTTCCAGTATATGTTACTTATGAAGATCAGACACGCACGCACGCACGCACGCACGCACACACACGCACACACACACACACACACACACACACACAGAGCAGTTAACTTCAATGAAATATTCTACATAGAGTTTCTAATCTGTTTCTCAGTCAGAATAAAGCAGTTTGACTTTATGTAAAATTGGTTTTGGCAGCTACATAGAGCTTATTATGGGATGGATGACAGTTGAAACCAAACTGCTGGTGGAAACAGGAAGTAAACTCTTGACTTCGTTGTGTCATCTGCGTGACTCGTAGCTCCAGTAGGGGGTAGCAATTTGCTGGATTTTCAGAATAAAAGTCCAAGCATTAACTGGTTTTCTGCTCAGGTCTGAAAATTGACAATGGGAGGAGGTCAGAGTCATGAGAAAGAGGATGAGGAGCGAAGAGGAGGAGCTGAAGAACATAAGAAGCCTGAGAAGGCTGAATCTTCTGAAGGTAAAAACAGAGATGTGAACAATTCAGACATTTATTTCTGATGAATTAATGCTGTTCTTCTCAGAGTCATCAGGTGAGCTGCCCCAGTGCAGGATGGGAAACAGGATGGTGGACAACATGTGCTTCATGATCTCTTGCACCAACTGGTATTGAACTGGTGCAGACTGGGACTACTGGAGGAAGATGGAAGAAACATTCCAGAAATAAATCTTAAGGAAGTTTGATCTTCAGTTCCCAGGTTTAATCATAAATCTGTTGAAAAACCATCCAGGCATTGTTTATGTTAGTTTACTGCAGGAAGAGGAGAGAGGTTACATGATGAGGTCAGAACCAGAGGCTCTGTTGGATAGAGGAGGATTCATGGAGTCACCTTCTTATTATTTATCTAAAATTAATCTGATTACCTTCATTACTGCATCAGGCTTGATCCTGCAAAAGCTGAAACCAGTATTTATACATTTGCTGCAGTGCTTTAATGGCTGAAGGTAGAAACATGGCTGCTGCTGTTAAGTTTTCTTTGTTTTTTGTTTTTTTGAATCAATGATCAGGAGAAGTTTTGGTCAAGGCAGAGTTTTTCATCCCTGCTTCCACTGAAATACTTCAGTTTCTCTGCAGCTTCAGCAGAAAAGATGCAACAGCTGGTGATGTGGAGCTGATTCATCTGGATTTAAACTGAGGCTTTGATGATAAAGATTGAAATGAAAAGATAATAATGGATTTCTGGGTTTTTTTTAAGAGGGTTTCACATTGGATCAATAAATTCTTTGCATTAGGAAACACTATGAATAAAAATACAAATACAATAATTGAAAACATTTTTTGTAAATATATTGATTTTATAGATTTCCAACAAGAAAAACACACAAAAGTGAGAAAACATAACGTAACAGGTGGCAATGCATTCCATAGCATGTGCATAAATACATGCAGAGTGCATAATATTTAAATGTATCCATCAAAGTAAGTACTGGTTGACAAATATAAAATACACTTTCTAGGTTAGTCAAGGAAAATCTGAGATTTCACATCTGGAGATGTGAAATGACTTTATCGTGTTTGATTTTCATGCAGAATTAAACATCACTCTGAACACACTACTCCCGAAGTGAAACATGGTAGCGGCAGCATCATGCTGTAGGAAGATGAATGGAGCCAAATCCTGGAGGAAAATCTGTCAGAGGCAGAAAATGTGAGACTGGGATGTAGGTTCACCAGGCTCAACGTATCTCTGTGGCAGAAGAATCAAGATGTTGCAATGACCTAGTCAAAGTACAGAGTACAACCTGACTGGAATGCTTTGTTGGGAATTGGGTTATAATAGTATAATAGTTTGGGATTCTTCATTGTAGTTTAGTTTTATTTCGTTGTGACTTTTTGTTTGTCTAATTCAGTTGGCTTTAATTAGTTTATAGAGTGTGTTTGCTAGTTTTTAATAGTTATAGTAATAGTTTTTTTTAATGCTTTTAATTTTTAGGTAAAGAATAAAAAATATCAAAATTATCACAAAAATGTATTGTGATAATTTCGAAGAGTCTTGACCTCAACCCGATAGAACACCTTTGAGATGAATTAGAGCGGAGACTGAGAGCCAGGCCTTCTCGTCCACCATCTGTAAGTGACCTAGAGAGCTGAGCGGAAACAGAGTTCTTGTTTTAAGAAAACAGAACTTCATCCATCAGTCTGGATGTTTGGATCTCAGTTTGTTTCCATCAGCAGAAATCTCCACTGTCCTCACCTGTTCAGGATCAGCACACCTGGATGCTGTCAGAGTTTCAATATGACCAATCAGGTTTCATTTGACTTTGTGTTCTTCATGCTGAGAACATCATAGTTTGTATTTGACCACTGAGATCTTCATCGGCAGGATTTTTACTTTATCTGCAGTGATGATGTATGGAAACATCTTGTCAGTGAAGGTGTGTGTGAAGATGTGTATGTATGTGTTGGTATCCAAATCAGTGAACGACAGCTTTCCTCTGTCATAGTCCAGATTCACTCTGATCCTCTGGATCTTTTTCTGGACAGATAGATCTATGAGAGGAGCTGCTGGAGATCGTGCTATGTATTTACCTTTATAGAACTGTATAACCAATCGTCCAGACAGTATCTCTCCTTTCCTCTGGACTGACTGTGGTAACACACCAAGCATCCAGGCTCTACCATCTCCAAAATCAACATCCCAGCTGTGGTTCCCTGAGTTAAAACCCTCAGAGCCCAGAACAGACCACCAGTGATCAAATCTCTCTGGATTATCAGGAAGCTGCTGTTCCCCTCCTACAGTCACAGTGGTCAGATCGTCAGACAGGATTATTCTCGGATTAGCCGTGTTTGGGTCCAGAACCAGAGGAGTGTAGGTCACCATGCCCTTCATGTTGCTCCAGATGTTGAAGGCCAGGTTGCCCAGATGTTTGGCCTGGTCTATCAGAGCTCCTGAGGGCAGCTGTGGATCCTCCAGCAGGGGGCAGCGCTGGACTCTTTCCACTGCAGCCTTGTAGTTGTGCAGGAATGAGACGTCTGCAGCTCTCAGCTCCTCCTCTGTGGCTCTGACTGTGTCTGAAAGAGCTGCTATCTCTCTGCTCAGAGCCTCCATCTTCTCCTTCATCATCCCTCTCTTCTGCTCCTCTTCCTCCCTCAGTGCAGCCAGCCTGGCCTCCTCTTCCTCTGTCAGAAACTGATGAAGCTTCTTAAACTGCTCAACAATCTGCCTCTCTGTGTGTCGGGCCTGGACCTTCAGGTGTTCTGCTGTCTGATCAAACTCCTCTTTAACTTCCTTCTTCATCTCCAGGTTCTTCTTTAAAGGCTCCAGAGATGTTTTCAGTTTCTCTCTGTGTTGCTGAGCAGCTTCATCGATGGGCCTGAATCTGTGCTTGGAGTGTTTTTCTGAATCTCTGCAGACGAGACAAACTGGCTGCTGATGGTCCAGACAGAAGAGTTTGAGTTTCTCAGAGTGCAGACTGCAGAGACGCATTGGAGCATTTTGGATTTTCTGCTGTAGGAATGATTCACACAGGTTCTCCAGAACCAGATTTAAAGTCAGTTCCATCCTTGAAGATCTCCTCTTACAAACTGGACACTCTCTTGCTGGTTTCTCTCTCCACCAGTTCTTCAGACACTCCTTACAGAAGCTGTGGCTACATGACAGAACAACCAGATCCGTAAAGACGTCCTGACAGACCGGACAGCAGAGATCCTCCTCTAACCTGGAAGCCATTTTGTCTCTGAGTGAAGCTGAAAACACAGAAGGTCCAGTCAGTCTCGGCTCCCTCCCTCCTCTACTAACTTCCCTCAAAGTGACTCTGAGTGTTTTGGTCCAACTCACCTTCAGTGTGAGCAGCTTGAAGCAGCAGAGCTGGAGGTTTCCACTTTTCCCTCCTGCAGCTGGACTCACTCAGAGGAAGCTGCTAGTTTGGTCTGATTCCTGCTTTGGTTCAGTTCTGATTGAGGTTCTGTTTCAATGCAGAATTCAACCTTTGAGCTGCCATAAAACTCACTGATTAACAGGTTTTATTTTTCTTTGCACAGATCAGAATAAACCTGTAATAAAGATGGAGGTATAAAGTGATTGAACTTTGTCAACTTGATTCTCATTCATTCTACTCCAGAGCTGGTTGATTTAACCTGTAAATGAAAACAATAAATATTTCATATAAAACATAAAGCTACAGAAATTGATACATATAAACTCTGTTCAGTCACCAAAAAAACAAACAAAAAAAAAACAAAAAAAAAAAAAACAATATAGTTCAAGGAATTTTGATCTGTGGAAAACACCACTAATAATAGTTTGATATACAGAAAATACTTTCATTATTTTAGTCCAACAGGTCAGATTGGTGCTGCGCCTGGGGAAAAGAGAGCATCTTACTGGAGTGTTGTGGTGAATACAGAGCTGAGCTGAAAGGTAAAGCTCTTGATTTCTATGCGTTCCCAGTCACAGTTTGGGAACGCAGTTCCCTCTGCAGGGAACTGCAGATTGGAGCTTGGTCATCCAGGAGGAGACTAAGAGGAAGACCAGGACACGCTGGAGGGACGATGGTTCTGCCAGGGAGCGAAGAGGGAAACCACGAGGGATCACAGAGGCTTGGAACAAGGTTCAGCACCGAAGAATGGAAGGACCTTCAGCTGACCGCTTACATGTGAACACACCTGCTGGCTCCACCCTTACATCTCTGGCTACTGGGTCAACTGCGCCCTCTGGTGGAGACAAGATGTAAAACCAAAACATACAGTCACACACCTCTAACCCTGAAATGGCTCTTCTTCTTAACTGTACATTTGCTTTATGATTTTATCAGAACTTTAGAAAGTTTCTTAACTTTTTTTAATGTATCGTTTCCTTTTAATCGCCTTTAAAGAAATTAAATAGAACTTTAAAGTTTTTATTTGACTGTAGCGTTTGTGTTGTATATGTCAGAATTTAATAACATTAACGGCTCTTTCTAATTACAATATGTCAAGACTACAGTGATCCTACTGATTAGATATATAGAAACAATATGTTACCGTTCAGCAGTTAAGGTAAAAAAGTAAAACTATTTCATATTTAGGAGCTAAATCCAGCCACCCAAAGAGACAGGAGACAGTAAATCTTCATTTTAAGTGATGAAGTCTTTTATTGACATTTCTTAGAACATGGTGGTGTTGGTACAGAACCGGTGCCAAACAAACTCAAAGAGAGAGAGAAACCGTTTTCAATTTTCAGAATAAAATCCTTCAAAAATAAACCATAAATTGGAAACAGAAACATGGTTGTTCATCTGAAAAATGCTGCAAATGACAGAAATACTAAGATTTTTAAAAACATATTTTTTGTATTTACAGAACTTGAGATGAAACTGGATTTCAAAAATGCTTCAGTATTTTGAGTCAAAAATCAAGATCAGATTTTTTTCGCTAATTTTTATTTGATAATCAACCCATTATTAAAGAACAAACAAAAGTCAAACATTGTTCACAGAAAAATATTCTTTCTGTTAAGAACAGAATTTTTCTAAATCTTTCAGATGAGTCAGCAGTAAAAAGTCTGAACATCTGAAATGTTTTTCTGCGTCTCAATAATTAAAGACAGGAATAAAAAGTAAAGGCAACAACAGGTAAGTTAAAAACCAACTCCAGGTTTTCCGGCAGATTCGCTTGGATTCATCAGGAAAATTGACTCTGGAGGAAGTTGGTAAAAATAATTCAACTAATGATTGATTGATTCTCTTTTCAGTTTGAACATCTGTTTTAAGTAAATCTTTTGTTGCATCTTTTTTTTTAACATTTTTTTCTCATTCTGTTTGAAAATATTTATCTCTTTCATTTCATGTAAACTAAAAATTAAAACGAAGCTTAACTCTCCAATTTCCAAAAAGAAAATAAATTCAAGTAAATTAGACCTGCAAGCAGTTATAACGGGTTCCTTGCCCAACCTGGCAGGCCCCCACCTCTTTAAAATTAAATCATGCAAACATCTGTGCTGCCTTTTTTTAAATTCATGTCTTTCCATGTTTGCTTTTATTGCATTAAATAATATTTTTCTCTGAATGAATTGAGTAAAATCTAGAAAATAATGAGCATTTCAGTTGCTTGCTGTTGTGTTGAACTATTTGCTTTCAGCTTTGTGAGCTGAACTTTGCAGAACATCAGGAGACTGAGGTCAAAATGACTGGACTCTGGTCACATGGGACTGTCTGTTATCTGCCCAGTACAAACATCCAGAACCAGCAGTTTGGCCCAGTTCTTCCCGAAAAACCCATACAGCTTACCTACTACTTACAAAAATCTCATTTATACATATTTTCTCTATTATGTCCATTACATGAACAATGCAATCACTAGAGAATATTTTCTTCAAGTACTTTTCTTTATTTTCCACAAACAGACATTTGCTGAAATACACAGTAATCTGCTTTTCTGTAAATCTCAGTAAATATGTACAAACTCCAATATTTTCTGCCAAAAGATAAAAAAAACCGTGAATCAGATGAATGGATATTTATTTTTCAGCCCATTATTTAACCCCACCCCACCCCCAAAACCGGTGATGCTATTTTGCCATTATGGAAAGTGTCATCTTAACTCTCACAACTCTAAAGGTCACTGTAATTTAAGCTGCACATTATTTAGTTTAAACCTGTAAAAAGTTTTCTGTACAACCAGAAACAGAAGCGACACTCCCACAAGGTGTCAGGCGTTGTAAGGCGAATACAGGAACTACCAGATACAGAATCGGGACCAGAGTCTGACTTTTTTCTTGTACAGCTGGACCTGCTGCCAACAAAGGATTAACTGAAAACAGATGCAAGCCGCACTTTTCAGATTTTTATCTATGAATTAATATATACTGTTATGGAGCATTTTGTGTTGGTCTGGCCCACAAAATAAATCAAAGTTGGTGGCTGTCTTAATGCCACAAAGTGGGACATTGAGTTCAAGGGGTATGAAGTTTGATGTAAATATCTGCACAAATTTTCATTTTTAGGACAAATTTTGTTTAATTTTGGCAAAAATGTCTTTGGAAACCTTGGAGGTTATAAACATTAACTGGAAACGCTAACAAGCTAAGAGCTAATGAGGCTAGCTGGGATTCATTAAACTGAAGGTTGCAGGCTAAGAGCTGAGTCTGATGATAGAAGAGAAAAATAACAGTAAGCAACACATAAGTAGTAATAAGTTTGGCTAAATTAATGCAAAATAAAGACGACTAGTATTTTTACGGCAAACTGAATTATATAATATTCAGAATAAAAACAAATAATTGAATTAAGACACTGAGTAGTTATAATAAAGATAGAAATATTATTCTAAATCATATGTATAAATACATTTTATAGTGAGGAACTTTAATCCCTGCAATAAATCATCTTGAATTTGTAATTCATCTTGTGCTATCATGAAATTATTTTGAATTTTCCTTAATAGTTCATCATTATGATTTGACTACTTTTCTAAATATAATAAATATTTTTTTGCCTTCTGTGTAACTTTTTGGGTTTGGGGTTGAAAAGGATCAATAATGATGATCAACACTAGAATATTGGATTTATTTTTTAAATGAACCCACCAACTCTTCAGAGAGCAAACAAAAGCTAAAAACTGCTTTTTTTTCCAATAAAAAAACAGATGTTTCTTAGTTTGGTCCAAACAGTTCTGCAGAACTCTGAGCAGATCTGAAGCGAAAGAGGCTGAGAAAACCTGGAATACATGAAATCCCTGCAGAGCGGCGATGTTGGTGAAAGAGGAACAGATCAGGGTTTAACAGCCTCTCATGAAGGGGGATGAACCAGATCATTCTCTGGGGTAAAAACTCTTTATGAATCAAAGAAAACAGCAAAGTTCTGGACTGTGACTCACTTAGCGGAGATTTCAAACCAGAAATGGAAAGCAGTGAACTCCTAAAATCTCTCTGGGAGACCAATTATCCTCAGTGTGAGTCACCTCAGAGAGGTAACACCATTTACATCAACAGCTTGGGCGTTTAAATAAAGCATGCCTTATAGTTCAAACTGCAGTGATGCTGCGGCGTTACATAACGCCTTAAATCTGCTTTTCTGAAATTCGCTGCCTCTGCAACACCAGCTGAGTTAGAAAACACCAGAGCAGCCTGGGAGTGTCTGATTTCAGGAAAGAAAGACACAAAACTGAAAACTGAAACTCAGCTGCATCTGTAGCATCAACACGATCAAAATGAATCAATTTAAATGTAAAAAAGCATCTGCTGTTGACGTAAATTGCCAAACATTTTAAATGAAAACCACAAAAAAGCATCAAAAGATTGGATTAAAATTGTTCTCATTGAGATGACGTTTGCATGCTAACATGCTAACACACTAACACCTTCACTTCCTGTTCAAACAGCACCAGGATCCATGAAAACTGCTGCTTCCCTTCACATCAGCTTCAATCAGATCATCAAATTACTCCTGAAGTTTGCAGACACAGAATGGCACAAATGTCATCAAGTATTCGAAACCTTATTTATCAGCAAAAAAGCACAAAACATAAAACAAAAAATGTAAAAGCTACCGTATTGTTTAGCTGGCAATTATTTTTTTTTAGAGATGCTATTGTGTGTTTTATCAATAAAAGCCTGCCAGTAAGTTTTTTTTTTTTTGTTTTATCGAAAGTGAGATAAAACTGGAAAACAACTTCCTGTCATGTTTGATGATTTTGTTGAGGTTTTAACATGCAGGAATGATTCTTTTAGTTCAGATCTGGAACTATTGTTATTGTTTCCACAGACAAATTAAATGCAGGTTTGGACAAAAAAAAAAACCAAACAAACAATTTTTTGTCCAAAAATACAGGTTTAGTCCAAAACCAAAAGGTTAATGGTTAAATGCAGGTTGGAGAATGAATAAATCAGCAGCGTGTGAATAAATGATGCATCAATAACAAACTCCTGCATTGGCACTTAAAAAACCTTCAGCAACTCTTATAAATGTAAAACCAAATAAACCCAGTGAAGATGAAACTGGGGACAAACTGTCCAAAATCCAAACAGGAAAATGTATAGAAAAAAACAGGGAAAATGAACAATTAATTGATTTAAGTTATTTTTAAATTGCTGCAATTGGAATTAAGTATGTCTTGGTTTTTATTTCTATTATTGCATTATTATTTTCTTGGTATTATGCTGCCAATTTTATTGTTTATTAATATCTTTATCAGTCTTAATTTTATTTCTTGTTTTTTCGTTTGTGTATCTGTGAAGTTGTAATTAATGTGAAGCTTTTTGGTCAGCAGAGTTTGCTGTAAATGTGATTTATATATAAACTTGTGCAGAAAAGTGTTATGTATAAATGAAACATACATTAAATAAATAAAAAAGTAGATAAATAAATAAAAATGATTTTTGTGGTTTGTCCCATTATTTCATGTTATAAGGTGCAGGTTACTTTATTCCTTTTCAATCTTTTATTTTCAAGAATTCAGCATGCTGATGTGAGTGAAGCATCAACATAGCACAGCGTGAGATTAAGTGATGTTGCTACTTCTGCAGTGGTTGAGTTGCAGTTGTGCTGTTTTTGGAGAAGTGGAGCATCTGAAGGTGCTGAATCTTTTAACAATCAATCTTCAGCAGCCTTATCTGGTGACCAGACTGGATGTTGTTGTGTTGGATGTGTGGGAAAACAATGCTGGAGTTTTAATTCTCTGTGGCATCGTTTCTTCTTTCACTCTCAGAATGAAAGGTAAATATGTAACAGTAGCTACATTTCTCAATGTGCGCAAATCTTTGTCCATGTTCTGCTAATGTTGAAAAATCACAATTTTGTAATTGTGGTGCTTCCATTAAATAAGAAATTAAATTAAAACCCACTGTAAACAAGTAAAATAATGGCAGCAGAGAGGAGATGTTTGGGAATCTTTAGGTTTCATTAACATTGTAGACTTTATATTCTGTCAGGCTGATAATTATAAACCTCAGCTTCCTTCAGCTTTAGACAGACATAAGAAATATCTCAATATGCAGACGACTCAGTTCTCTACTTCTGTAACAATCCATCTACATAAATCAGTGATTCTGTTACTGTGTGACTAAATAAAAAGAGTTTTATGTTAACAATATGAGCTGTGGTGAGTTGGTATTATATTGTTTAGTAAAAAAAGAGATAAAAACAGTTTTCCATCCCAGTATAACTGAAAACAGAGTTATGTGATCCACAGAGAGCTTCTTGGTTTATTTTTGTTATGGCCTTTCTACCTATCTTTTATTTTCAAGTTTAGTCTTAATTGTTTTTTTTTCCTTACTTAACTTTGACCTAACTTTATAACTGAAGCAGTTCTCATGTAAAGTTTAAAGGTAGTTTCCAACTGGGAAATGTTTTCTCCCTCTTATTTTCTCAGAGGAAAAAAAGTTTGTTGTTGGTCCAGCAAGAACTTCCAGCATCCAAAAAGAGATGAAGACAAATTCGCTCCATATCACTCTGGACTTTATTTTACTGTCAACCCCGTTTGGTTTTAACTCCAAATATGAAAATTTCTTTTAAACTCTTTGTCTCAAAGTTCAGATCTTCTCTCTCCAGCTAGCAGCGCCTTTCGGTCCAGTTCTGTTGGCTGAAAGTGACAACAGCTTTGGGGTTCTGGTCCCCTGTCATACCCACTCCTGCACCGGGTATTTGTAATAATGCTGCATCATCGTGTTCTGCTGCGCTCCTTTGCTCTTAAACTGGAAAATGGTGTAGATCAGCACCAGGATGCAGAGCGACAGGATGCAGGGTATCACCACGGCGATGGCGTTGACGGTTGTGGGGACGTCGTTGATGGTCACGATGACGTCCACGTCGTCAAGAGGCAGCTGCCGGTCTCCGCGGTTGCTGCCGGAGCGCTCCATCTCGGACTGGTAGCAGCCCATCCAGTCTTGTAAAATAGACTTTGGATATCCAGGCTCCACCGTCAGCTTCTGGTTGTCGAACTTCCAGTACTCCTTCCCCCTGTAGAAGAAGGTGTGATCTGAGGAAGGTGGGATAATGGTGTGGATGGTAGAGGGTGATGGATGACATAAATGGAGAGAAGGTAAATTCAGGGTTAGGTCTTATTTATTGAAGCTATTGAGACGTAAACATGGACAAGTCTGATGTGTCAGTTTCAGTTCAGCCAGCCATTGCTCTGATTTAGCCCAGAAAATTGTGAAAACTGGACCATTTAGCCACAGATTTTCAGCGGATTTGATCAAGCTGACAATGAAGGGACCATTGTATTTTAACTAAATGTTGCAGAAAGTTATTGGGAAGTCCTTGAGGGAACAGTTTGTTCATCTGACTCAAGGTTAAAAACCTCTAGCTGCCTTTGATTAACAACTGGAAGACTCATTATCTCTGGTCTGGAATACAACTTTTGTCTTTATGTCATCATGTGATGTAATGTTTCTCTTTTGTGTTATGTTTTCAACCATGTGAAGCACTTTGAACTGACCAGTTGCTAAAATGAGCTACATAAATAAACCTGCTTTGACTTCATTTCTTTGGTTCGATGATTATTCCCTCCTGGACGTTGAGCGTTTTGTTTTCAGACGGTTGTAAAAACAAAAACTCGTAACCAAGGGAACAAGGAATAGTTTTTACAACTGGGAGTAGCTGATTAGAATCTCAAAAGCTCAAGTGTTCCTGAACTATGACCCCAAATCCCAACATCTCTATGTGACTTTTTAACTCGACGGACCAACAGAGGTATAAAGAGGAGCAGCATTGGTTTAAAATCTGAGAGAACATGAATCTAGTTAAAGTAATAACCAGCCAAAACTCAAATATCTTCTGAAGATGAACTTGTCTTATCTGTTTGAATAACTTCAGTTTGAAACATTTTGCTACATTCAGATGATCTGAACGTAGGCACTAAATGTCATTTTAGTGCCTTAATTTCACAGTTTCTGTGACATTTGAGGGGCTCTTAGGAAGCCGTTTCCCTGCAGGTGTAGAGAAGCTCTGCTCAGCAGGACAAACTCTGAAGTACATTAAAACCTAATGTAGGATTTCAACATTTTGACATTTCCCAACTGAAAGTACCTTCAAATACCAGCTTCAACAAAAGGATAATAATCAGCTTGTGATTAAAGAGGCAGAATACTCAAAAATGACAAAAATGTTTTCCAATTGTTAACTTTTTAATTATTAAAATAAAATACACATAATTTTGCATTTAATCTTAAAAGTAACAGAAAATCACTTAAGCTCCAGATCTTTGAATTTATTCAAGCTATCAACATATTGGTCCAAATGTGGTGTTCATAAGACAACAGGTACCAGAACCCAACACAGACCCAATCCAACAACTAAACACACGAACCTTTGACTGCAGAAGCACAGAAATAACCCCCACAAACTCTTAGCAAAATTAAATCAGTATAAAAGTAAATCTGAAATAACATTTCAGCTTTACGAGGTTTAATCTGCTGAATTGTTCCTAAACTAAGTCACAGTAACAGCGCTGTTGAAAGCAGAGGGAATCCGACCATCAGTTTTATCTTGTTGATTCTCTTGTTCCTGCAAAACTGGTGAAGAGGAAGGGTGTTGGTATCAAATCAGGGTTTTTCTGGAGGCTTAGAGTAGCTGCATGCTAGTGTGCAGCTACGCTGGATTACTGGTAGATGGGTATCTGGGTTTGGTTAAGAAGAGAGGAGTTTAGTTTGTAGCATCTGGACAGATTCTGAAGCTGAGCTGAAATCTCCAGTTTCCTGTTTAAAAACACAGAGTTGGAATCTGATTACAAAGGTTTCACTCCGACGTTGTTTTTCTTCATGCTAAGAACATCACAGCTGAGATCTTCATCGGTAAGAATTGTAGCCTATCTGCAGTAGCGATGTATGGAAACATCTTGTCAGTGAAGGTGCGTTTGAAGGTATGAACAGGAGTGTTGGTATCCAGATCGGAGAACGTCAGCTTTCCTCGTTCCCAGTCCAGATTCACTCTGATCCTCTGGAGTTTCTTTTTTATTGAGATAACTTTAGCAGCTGCTGGTGGAGACACTGCTGAATATTTACCTTTACAGAATCTAATAGCCAGCAATCCAGACTGTATTTTCCCCTTCCTCTGGACAGACTCAGCCAACAGACCAAGTCCCCAGTCTTCATTGTCTCCAACATCAACATCCCAGCTGTGGTTCCCTGAGTTAAAACCCTCAGAGCTCAGGACAGACCGTGACTTAAACCTCTCTGGATTATTAGGAAACTGCTGTTCGTGTCCTGAAGTCAAACTGGTCAAATCTTCAGACAGGATGACCTTTGACCCAGCCGTGTTTGGGTCCAGAACCAGAGGAGTGTAGGTCACCATGGTCTCCATGTTGCTCCAGATGTTGAAGGCCAGGTTGCCCAGATGTTTGGCCTGGTCTATCAGAGCTCCTGAGGGCAGCTGTGGATCCTCCAGCAGGGGGCAGCGCTGGACTCTTTCCACTGCAGCCTTGTAGTTGTGCAGGAATGAGACATCTGCAGCTCTCAGCTCCGCTTCTGTGGCTCTGACTGTGTCTGAAAGAGCTGCTATCTCTCTGCTCAGAGCCTCCATCTTCTCCTTCATCATCCCTCTCTTCTGCTTCGCTTCCTCCCTCAGTGCAGCCAGCCTGGCCTCCTCTTCCTCTGTCAGAAACTGATGAAGTTTCTTAAACTGCTCAACAATCTGCCTCTCTGTGTGTCGGGCCTGGACCTTCAGGTGTTCTGCTGTCTGATCAAACTTCTTTTTAACTTTCTTTCTGAGCTCCAGCTTCTTCTTTAAAAACTCCAGAGATGTTTTCAGATTCTCTCTGTGATCCTGAGCAGCTTCCCGGATTGGTCTGAATCTGTGGTTGGTGTGTTTTTCTGAATGACTACAGATGGAGCAAATTGGTTCTTGATGGTTCAGACAGAAGAGTTTGAGTTTCTCAGAGTGCAGAGAGCAGAGATCCGTTGGGATTCTCTGGTCTCTCTGCTGTAGGAATGATTCACACAGGTTCTTCAGAGCCAGATTACGAGGAGGATCTTTGGTGAATGATATGGTCTTACAAACTGGACACTCTCTTGCTGGTTCCTCTCTCCACCAGTTCTTCAGACACTCCTTACAGAAGCTGTGGCTACATGACAGAACAACCGGATCCGTAAAGACGTCCTGACAGACCGGACAGCAGAGATCCTCCTCTGATCTGGAAGCCATTTTGTCTCTGAGTGAAGCTGAAAACACAGAAGGTCCAGTCAGTCTCGGCTCCCTCCCTCCTCTACTAACTTCCCTCAAAGTGACTCTGAGTGTTTTGGTCCAACTCACCTTCAGTGTGAGCAGCTTGAAGCAGCAGAGCTGGAGGTTTCCACTTTTCCCTCCTGCAGCTGGACTCACTCAGAGGAAGCTGCTAGTTTGGTCTGAAGGTGAATCTGATCGACTCTCTGCAGGAACCAACGATCAGAAACTGATTCCTGCTTTGGTTCAGGTGTGTTGGATGGTGGAGCTTAAACCTGCTGCCTCACCCGTACCTTAGACGTGTTTCCTAGCAAAGTTCATATTTCAAACTTTGAGCTGCTATAAAACTCAATAATTTAGAGGTTTTATATTTGTCTGCTTAAAAGAGAACAGAACTTGCAAGTCTCTTGTGAAGGAAGGAATTAAAATCTACAGAAGGTCTAGGGAAACTGTCCAGATTCAGACCTGCCCACCACTTTGAAAAGCCTTTTGCTAAAAGGTGCTTTGCAAATAAAATTTGAATGATTGAAAGAAAGAAAAGACAAAATAAGGAGAGGGTACAGATATGAATGGGCATCTTGATTTCAAACTCTGCTCTAGACACAAATCGCTTCAATCACAGCATAACAAAAACATATAAAGAGGCGACTAAATCATCTTATCAAACCTTTTCCACCTCAGACAGACCTTAAACAAAGTTGTATTTCCTACTTGTGAGATGATCCTGCTCACTTAGATCCAATATAATGTTTTGAGACCAGTCCAAGAGAAATGTCCCATAGCTGAACCCGATGGGTGTCCCCCGCCAGGCACCAGCACCCCTGGTGACCCTAAAGGGATACGGGATGATGGACGGGTGGATGAAACAGCTGGATGTTTTTTGTTCAAAGTCATGACTAAACCTCAGCAGAGGTTGCTGGACAGGACAGGGCCGTGTATGGATGAACTCAGAGTGTCAGGCACACGTACAGCTGCTTTTTAAAAGTTCCCCAGGCTATAAGGTTTTAACAGTCCTTTCTCCATCCAACAGAAAACGAAGGGTACTGTTCACCTACCCCTCAGTGAGGTAAATGATAAATGGCGCTTTATCAAGACCAGAGAACCATGAAACGCTTCACACCACATTCATCCATTCACAGCAAACTGCTGGCAGTAGCCACAGCTTCCCTGGGGCAGAGGACAGACTGCCCTGCACTGGCAGCACCGTGACCTCTGACCAGGCAAGGCAGGTGAAGCGTTTTGACCAAGGACACAATGACAAAGTCGGATGGAGCGGGTATCAAACTGGCAACCTGCATTACGGGAACCGTCATCACCATCGTTCCATGATGTTGGCCACACTGGTCACACAATAGTCTGTGGTAAGACAACTTTCTAAAAAAAGTTTCTACATTAAATCTCTTGAAACCTGTGTGTATACTGCATCCTTGTTAAGCATTTCTGGGAGAACTTTCGAACCTGAACGTTATCTTTTAACAGTCTGTCGCTTTGTAGTTTATTTCTAAATTAAAACTTTGATTGTGTTACCTCAATCATTTCAAATAACAACCCTCTGCTGACGGAGATGCTCTATTTTTCTGATGCTTGATGTTCTTCACACCACCTCAGTTAAACTGGCTTTAGGGTTTAGTTCGGCTACAGAACCTGACCCAGGACTCTGTCCTGCAGAACGCTTCATCATGGCTGAGCTGACGGTTCTTATTTCTACTGTTTTAGACGTATTGAAAAGCGACATCATGCTGGTACTCACATCCCTTTCTGGTGGTGAAGGCTCCCTGGGGAGAGTCAGGGACTCCGTCCCACACACTGATGGGCTTCGGGTATCCTGGGTCCACCGTCCGCTTCTCCTCATTGTAGCGCCAGTACTGGTTTCCTTTGAAGAAGTAGGTTTTCCCGAAGACCTCCCAGCGGACGGCGGCATCGATGCCATCTTTGGGGAGGAAGCTGCCCAGCTCCATGAGGCTCTGAGGGTAACCCGGCTCGGCCTTCACCTCCTTAAACACCCAGAACTTATCACCTGAAATAAAAACAAAGGAGCAAATCAACATTTTTTATCTGATCCTTTTTAATGTTTGTGCCTAACATCTGCACTCAAACACAAAATCTTAACAAGTATTTTTGGTCTAGTTTCTAGTGCAAACATCTTAGCTCACTTGCAATAAGACAAAACTAATTTACAAATAAGTTTTCAGCAAGGTATAGGAGTTTATTTTAAGTCAATAATTCCTTAATACTGATGTATAAGTTTATTTGCATAACACATTTCAGAATCAAGGTAATTCAAAGTGCTTTACATCACAAAAACACAAAAATAAAACATCATACAACTGAGAAACCAGAAACAAACATTACCATCATCAAAATCATCAACACGTCGAATATGTTGGTCAACATTTCATTTATTATGGTTCAGAAGCTAAACAAGTGGGTTTTTGGTTTTTGTAGCATGGGGAAATGTCTTGTGATAAGTGAAATTATCAACTAAATTATAAATGAAATTATGTCAACAGCACAGGGGGAGATGGCATCTCATGCAAATCCTCCAAAGAGAAAGGAGCATAATTTAGAAACAAGAAAGATCTGAAAAACTGGACAAAAGAAATCCCAAATTATTCATTAATTTAAGTAATAAAGAAGAACATTAAGCTACTAAACAACTTGAAACGTGTTGGATATCAAAGTCATTACATTTCTGGTTCTTTTTATGTCCTGAATTCATAGCAACTAAAACCACTGGAAGTGTTTGCAGGCTGATCAGTGATCTCCTGGTTTCTGTTTAATTTCTCCTACCTTTGAAGAAGACAAACTTTCCGTCGGACCTCTCGTAGGCAGCGTCGATGCGAGGAGGCAGGCCCTTCCAGAACTGGTCGATCTCTATGGGATAACCCTCCAGGACATTGTTGTTCTTCAGACGCCACAACCAGCGATCCTGAAGACAAGAAGCAGAAACATCAGCCTTCATTCACCAGCCTGAGCTGCAGCAGCACAGTAACTGGAGAGTTGTTTTCTGCTCGGCAAACAAACCGGACCAGATATCTTCAATTAAACCAGAACTGTGTCACTTTGAAGGACCCAGAAAAGGAGGATTTCCTGGCTTCTTTCACACCAGCACAGTTCAGTCCGCTTTAATCGACCTCCAGTCTGTTTATCTAAAGTCCGGTTCAGTTGAGAAGGTGTGAATCGAACCAGAAAAAGCAAACTCTGATCCTCCAAACCTCGGTCTGGGTTTGGTTGAAGTGAACTCTGGTTTGGTCTGAATGCCTATGTGAACACCAAGCGGACCAGAGACCACTCCATAAAAAGGAAGTGGACAACAGTGAAGGGCATTCTGGGTAAATTCAACCAAAACAAACGCGGTAGCCTAGTGCTAGCAGGAGAAATGGCTCGTGGACTTTAGCCATGAAAAAGGATCCCTAAAATCTGACGCCTCCATTTTGTTTCCATTTGGTAAAAGGAAGTTGCGCTCTGTGTCTTCAGAGGTTTTTGAGTCGTTTCTTCAGTGGTTCTTGGTGCTGACCTTTGAACCCCTCCCAGATTGGCATTGTGTTAGCACACGTCTGGATGCTCAAACACAAATTTGCTTTGGAAGATAAATAAAGCAGGTTATAAATTATGTTTTGTTCCCGGTGAGGTTGAATTTACTTAAATTCATTACCAGATGAGCATCAGAACACATTCCTATGTTTTCCTATAACATCTGATGTAACATTCATCCTTAATCTGTTCCTATCTTGAATAAAGTCACGCTGAAGCATCAGCCTGTCTGATGTCTGTCAGGCAGCCTGTCAGGCATCAGCCTGACAGACGGAGGACAGGTGTGGACAGATGAGCTGCCAGAGGAGATGAATATTCTCAGTGACAGGTGATCCTGAAGGTAGACGGAGAGCTAGATCAGTCTGTGACCTTTTTTAGAATTCAGTTTAAAAATCAGAGACGTGAATGGATTTTTATTCTTCCATCCGTCACTAAGAGTTAAACACTGTATCTGTTGCATTAACACATTTTCTGCAATTTCTCTATAATTAGGAACATTTACTCACTGTTGCTTCAGCGTTTATCTGTAGATTTAAACAGACTGTTTATTTCTATTAACTGCTATTAACTTTAACGTTCCAATAACATAGAAAGTAATCCTGGTTCAATTCTTCTGTTTCTTCTTGTGCCTCTTCTCAAACATAATATCATCAAAAACAAACCTGGAGTTTCGCCCTCATTCTTTAAATCCCATGGCAACTATTTAGCTAAAATGTCTGGGGGGACGTAGCTCCGCCTTCGAGGCGCAGCTCCTCCCGCACTCAACTCCTTCAGACTAGCCAGCAGCAATTAGCAAATGAACTGCTGAGTTCATTACTACTACTTGTCAGTGAAATGCTGGTAAAGATGTTGTTAAAGGGTTAATAGAGGAGCCATGTTGGGAAGACTTCCTGAGAGGAGCTGGAGTTTTTAAAGTAACAGAAGCTCAATTTCAAGGCATTAAATCTGGAATTGAAGTTTCTTTCATATTTGATATATAGCATCTTTATAACAATTGAAGGTATAAAATGCTATAAATTGTCAATATGTGGCTGGAAAACACAAGGATTTCCTCTCCACTGTCGCCCCCTGTTGGCCCAGAAGAGAGAGTGCTGCAGGTTTATGACTTGATGCTTTGCTAGGTTTCCTTAGATAGAATATTTTTGTCTCTCTCTGATGGACACAATGACCACCTGACTACTCTTGCACTAATCTGACCTACTTTTAAAAAGAAAGAATGAACAGTCAGAACAGAATAGCTTAACGTTGAAGCTTCATTTCTCTGCCTCACATGCAGACCAGTGAAAGACAAAGAGAATGCAAAAATATTCCTCTTATTAGAAATTAAAAACAATAAATTAATAATCATTAGACTTGACTTAATATAAAAGTCTTTAACTGTAGTTTTGATGTAAACCAGCTGCTGCATTGCTCATGTGGTGAGACACGGTCAGCTGCTGTGATGTTGGAGGATCTCATCAATGTTTCAGAGAAAATGAAAAGTAGGTCATTTAGTTTCAACCACATCAGCAGCGAACAGAGCTTCATATCAGCAGCTAGCAGAAAGTTAGCTCTGGGAAGCTAGCAGATCTTTACTTGAGTAGCTAGCAACTTTAGAGCAGCTAGCAGAGCATTAGCTCAGGAGCTAGCATAACTTAGCTTAGCAGTTAGCAAACTAAAGTTCAGAAGCTATCAGAGCTTCACCTCAGCAGCTCATATAGCTTAGATTAGAAGAGTTTTAACTAGCAGAGCTTTAGCTCAGCAGCTCCTCTCTGTGGCTCAGACCCAAATGTTGAAGTAAACTCCTTCAGGAAGGCGTGAGGCTGGGATTCAAACCGAGGACCTCTCTGCCGCCACACCACCACAACGCAGCCCCTCCTAACAGATCAGTTTTATCAGTTCTGTTAGTTTTGTGTAATTAGTGGAAATGTCAGCGTCCACATTCTTCCATCTCTCTCTCTAATTAACCTTTCATCTCTCTCATCCTGTGACTCAGCCCGATATTTAATGTTCTGGATCATTATGTCTCTGGGTCGGGGGCAGGACCGGGCCGGCCCGTTCTGTTCTCGGTTAGGCTCACTTTGAAAACAAACAGTTCGTTTCTGAAGAACGCCACGGTGTTGAAGTTCCCGTCGCAGATGTTGGGCTTTCCGTTGCCGGGCAGAGCGGGCCGGTCGCCGGGCGGCCGACCCGGCCGGGCGACCCGGTCCGGATGGCATTCCGAGGTGGAGTGAGTCCGTCGGGAGGGAAGCGTGGGCAACGGCCGGGTGGGTTCCAACATGGGGGTGGGGATCCCTGAGTGGGACGGGAAAAACACAGAGAGGGACCGAGGGGGAGGGGTTACTTTACTGTCACAGAGGATCCATCCATCCATCCATCCATCCATCCATCCATCCATCCATCCATCCATCCATCATTTATGTTCTCTGTTTATTCTTCTCGTTCTTTCTTCAGATTTTTCATCAGTTTTGTTTTTCTAATAACCCTTTATCGGTTTTTTAGCATCAGATATTGTTTTGATGTTCTCTGCGGGTTCTTTATGTTGTATTTTTGTCATTTTTCATATTTTCTAGCTGTTCCTTTAATGTTTCAGTCTTCAGTCTATGTATTTCCTCTCTTTTCTCTGTGTGGTTGTGCTGAGCAGAAACGTCTTTGTTCAGATTATCTGAACGCCGTTTATGGCCTGAATAATGTCCGTCTGATCTACAAACGGCTCTTTGACTCCTGCATCTTCACAGAGGAATAAAACCCGGCCGTGTTTTTTCTCTGAAAGGTGGAAATGCCAAACAACCAGAGGAACTCAGTCAGATATCTGCACCGAACACTGAGCTGCAGAGAAAAGATGCTGCTGATCTCACGCTTCCTGTCAATATTTCCCTGAAATGTCAGCTGTGCATCATGACCTTTAAGGTGATAATCAGGCAATTTTTTCAGGCTCTGATCATTAAGTGAATAAGAGGGAATCTAACCCTGACACTTTCTCTTCCTTCTCTTTGTGTCAAAATAAATAAGTTTTTCACCACATTTCCACCAGCGTCATGATAATTATTCCTCATTTGCAGACAGAAATCAAAGTCAGAGTTGATGAAGACGGCGGCCATCTTTGTGTCTCCGGCATAAACACGTTTTCCAGGCAGAAGCTGCTGGTTCCGATCCGTTTTCATCCTTCAAATGAAGCCAGGCTGTTGAATATTCTCCATAATTCAGCTGCTCTCTGGGCTCCAGCATTAATAATTCACACAAACAGTTTGCTGTTTTGACTTTTGCACGTTTTTGCTTTTAGATTCAGAGTGAAATGTTGTGTTCATGAACACCTCAAAGAATCCTGCTTCGTCCTGCCAGTTAAATTTTTCTCTACTTGTGTCGTGTTTCCTCACCGTAGATTTTCTGAATGCCCTGCAGGTCGTCCATTGGCAGCTTGAAGTTGTGCGTGTCCATGTACTGGTAGAAGGGAGCCATGATGGCGCTGGGGTCGTTGGAGTGCTCCAAACCCAAAGCGTGGCCTAGTTCATGCACCGCCACCAGGAACAAGTCATTACCTGGACAGACAGACGGCAGAAAATCAAAGATGGCGTCCAACACACTGAACCACTGATCTGCAGCTGGTTTGTTAAATTCACAGTAAAATCTGTTTCTATCACTCTCCTCTTCAAAGTAATACCAGTCCCAAACGAACACACTGAGTCTTTAAATATATAATCTGTGAGAGAATAAATTATTCAGATCTCATGAAACGGCAAAAATGTTGGATCTGGAGAAGAGAAATATCTTTATATTTGATGTAGGAATCCTGCTGAGCAGCAGTTAGCGCTCTGAACAGGAAGTTTAACACATTTTCCACTAATAACAATAATAACAACAACAATAATAATAATAATAATAATAATCTGTAAGGTGTTCTACGTCACCCTCCTTTAGCTCATTGCATCAGCAGTGAGCTAAAGATTAAAAGTTATATGCTAAATTCACTTGCTGATAACAGGAAATGGACTTCCAAAATAAAAGCTGGGTTTTCCAAAGATCTTTATAAACTCCTGCTTTTGAATTTTTTTCTGTCACATCTTAATCATCGTTTCAGCCCAACATTTCAACAGAAAACAAAGAATGAGCCGAATCCAGATGTTTACCAATGAATCTGCAGCAACAGAGATGCATCAGCGTTGAAGGATTCACTCTCTTTTATTTTGATAGTGCACTTCCACGCTAGTGAATTTACATATTAGCTAAACTAGCTAAATGTTTAGTTTAAAAACTAAATACATAGTTTACCCTGAGTGAATATTTACTTACTATCATAGCTCAGAGCTAAATTGGAGCCATTTCCATTGCTAATTAAATATTTAGTTTAAAACTGTGACTGTTAGAGATTTTTCGGTATTATCATTTTGTTATTACTTTAGTTCACATTCAGTCTATAGATCGTTGTGA